ATGGTCTTTACGAATCGAATGGTATACGTCTCATCGCTGTAGCTTAAAAACTCTAGGAGGAGATAGGTTTGCCGTGACAATAAGTTAAACTTTTCAGGAGAGCGCGACAAAGTCCCGCGAGCATCCGAAATGCCACTCAATGTATCAAGGATATGAAACTAAACGTTACTGGAGCTTGTACCACTCAAGGATGGTGGGAGCGACTGATTGCGCACCTCCTCTATCAAAGCCAGGCGGGTGACTGAGTTCCAGCGCCAGCACTCTTTTTAAAGGTCTAGGGAGCTAATTACCGCCTATGCAATTTCTTGAAGAACCCCCCCCCCACCCCCCACCCTCCCCTCTTTTATGAACTGTAGTGAACGCATAAATCAACGTACCGAGATGGTAATGGTACCGTTGGATAGCTGAGAATGTCAGATTTAAGATGAGACTAAACGGATAACTGAAGCGCAGCGTCAGCAGACACTCTATTTAAAAACATAGGGAGCTAATTACCGTCTATGCTATTTGTTGAAGAACTCCACAACCCTACCCCCCTTTCACGACCTGTCGTTAATTCATAAATCAGCGTACAGAGATGGTAATGGTACCGTTGGATAGGGCAGAATGTCAGCTTTACGATGAGATTAAAAACCGAAAAAGCCAAAATCCGAAAATTTTAGAGTAGACCCCCCCCCATAAACTTTGCCAGCAGCCATTCCAGCAGCCATGCCAGCAGCCATGTCAGCAGCCATGACATGCAGCAGCCATTCCAGCAGCATCACATTACAAGTACATCACATTACACATATAATCACTCACTAATTCCACTTCAATCTCAATTCCTGCTACGCAATAGTTTCTTATAAGTAATTGCATAAAAGAAAATTGTTTACAAATTGATGCCTCCTATAGTCCGTCGGATAGCAAATTTCAAGTTATTGTTTCCAAGAACTAAGCTCGTGGCAACGTATCTCGCGTACACAATAAACAAGGCACTGAAAACAGACATTAAGATCCAATGATTATTGCTTGTGCAGCGTATAACCAAAAACAAAGTGAAGTTGTAAGGCTTCAGACTCGCGTCAACGTTAGCAAGAAGGCATGCATTAAAAACAGGCAATTCATCGTCAAGATTACAGTATAATAGATAATTGAAAATCGAAAATACGTCGTTAAACCCACATGAGAAAGCAGCAGGCTCAACCATGTGTCGGCGGCATTTAAACTCGATCAAGAAGTTGTACAACGCCGAAGTTTTTCCATTATTGGCTGGGCTCTAATGGATTTACGTTAAGTTAGAGCTGCGTTCAAGCGTGAGTGCTGAGAAAAATTACATGTCCACAAACCGCTGAATAATGAGCATACCTAAGCCATGAACACAGAGGCGGAAACTCCATTGCAGAATACGACTATTGGCTTTCAGAAGAATTTCGGGATATAATGTAAGATGTGCGATTTCAATACACACCCGTTTCCTTTGTACAGCTGTACGTTAGAACGACACTCCGAGTGTACACATTACAACAGTTCAATTGCTCCATTACAGGTACTCTTTTCAGTCTACTTTGAAGGAATACGTGATCTACGGTCACGAAAATTTCGAGAATAATTTAACCGTTCTACCATGAAATAAGTTGTAAGAAAATAGTATACATTTTCTAGGCATCAAAAACGGTCCTAATGACAAATTCCTAATCAAGTTTACTGAGGGCACGGACTTAATAATTACGAATAATTTTGCCCACAGGTTCCCCTGTGGCGCGAGTATTGTATCAATTTTTTTGTTGAGCAAATTTTGATTTGCCATCTAAATAAAGTGAATTAAATGCACGTCGCAGGTACAAGTTAAGAATGCATTCCCTATGAAGTTTAAATCATATCACCCTTAACATTACTATACATTTTACTAGCTTGACAAGCATTCAGCAGGTGCGAAACAAACCAATCGACCTGCGTAAACTGAAAGAACGATAACTTGAATTGAAATTTTTACTATGAAGGCCAAATAATTCTACCTATCTCAATTAAATTTCAATTTGTCATAGAAATCTAGGATGTAAAACCATGTAAACAGGAAAAAGTACCCAAAAATTTGAGATATTTCAAAACCACACAATTTTTGAGGACATTTCCAATACACTTGTGCTAATGGCAGTTATGGCACAAGTGTAAAAACTTTTGTAAGTGTAAACCCCCTTTGGGTTACAAAAACTTTTAAGGACATTTCTAATACACTTGCACTGATGACCTACCTTTAAAGGTAAAAAAATTCACTTCTGTCTCGATACTCAATTTTGTCTCAATATACAAGGAATGGTGAGTGTGGGAGGCCTTTAAATATATATATATATATATATAATGGTACCGTATAAATATACAAGGCAAAGCGAGGCTGTTTTTAACCGTATATAGCTCCACGGCTTCAATTCTGCCTCGTCCAAGTCTCGATGAGAGAAATTCAGTTAGCGTCTAACGGGCAGACTCGCGTACACAAATACGAAGCAGTCAGCTTAGTTTGTTGTGGAGGATAATAGTTGACATAGAACATATCTTTGTGTTGACATAGAACATAGAACATATCTTTGTGTTGACATATCTTTGTGTTGACATAGAACATATCTTCCGTCATTGCTGCCAGAACGCATAGAAAGGATAACGCTAGGTCTGAAATGTAGCTATAGATAAATGTATGAAATGACTGACTAATAGAATAAGATATCTGCAACAGTGAAGAGATGAATGGCCGCATACAGTTCAGGGCCAATACTTTCAAAAAAAGTTAAGAGATCGTAAGTTCATCAGGCAATCATTGACGGCCTTTCAAGCAAAATCCACCAATCATAGACAAGAAAATAGAGCGTAAGTACTTACGTTCACTTAGCGAGTTTTGAAAGTATAGGCCCTGGAGGTCACTGCGCAGTCTTGTTGGATGCAAATTCAGATGATATCTTTTTAAAAGCTCTGTTGCACTCAAATATTCTAACACTGTTTAGCTGCAAATATCATTGCTATTTAAGCAATTATTGAAGCTCTATTCAATAATGAAATCAGAATAATGAAGCTCTATTGAAATAATAAATAATGAAGCTATTTCTATTTCTAACTATTTAACTTTGCCGAGAACTCAACTCTATAACATCGACATAATGTTACAAAAATGTAGTAACATTAAGGGTATAAAACCATTAAACCTGAAAGAACGAGGCCCAATATGCCGCGCTAACCTCAATATCCAAGAAAATCCCTGGAAAAATCCCTGGAAAATCCCTGTAAAATCCACGCACTCTATATCCATGGTAAATCCACGCACTCTATATCCACGGTAAATCCACGCACTCTATATCCACGGTAAAATGCGTGCAATGAACGCAATGAAGGATTTGCATCCAGTCGCCAAAAGCCTTCTGATTGGTTCACGCTCTAATCCAATAGGTGATTTCTATTCAAAATTGGCAGTTAATTCGTAGAAGTGCGGGCGATAAACGTTGAGGCTGATCCCATGTCCCCTATTACAGCCTAGAACGGCTGCCCAGACTCCAGAAATATGCATATAAAACTCCCTAAGTTGCCGTTATTTCTGCCGGAAATGGAGCTGCATTATCAAGCATTTATATGCCAGTCGTTCAGATGAACTCCCTTATTAAAAATAAGAATCGCCAGATCGTCGGCCAGTCAAAGGCCGCTGATAAATCGTACCTTAGCCGAAATTTACCCACGAAGAAATAAATCTTAAAATCGCAAGAATATCCCGGTGATAAAGCCCGATTTATTCTAATAATTACAAGAGTCTATCATAATCATAACCGGTATTAGTACAAAGAAGAAAAAGCTAATGGAAATGCTAAGTTCTTTTTACTCGTGAGAAAATTGCGATCTTCATCACAAAAAAGCAGACTCGCTTTCAATTTCCTGGCTCATTGAAGTATAAGAATGCGCAGCAGAATTGATACGAAAGTTCTAAGCTGCAGATCCCTTACTAAATATTTCATTTAAATGGAGAGCTGATAATGAGAAAATTTAAGAGCCTGGAAATGAAATAAACTAAGAACTGAGAAGAAAAAGCTATGTGATGAGAGCAGCATCAGATCAAACGATTATGCGAGGGGAAAATCGTTCTTTTTTGAACAGTGAATTGTTTAATGGTAAAATGTTGCGGGGGGAGAGAGAATAACCAACAAAAATAGCTATTGATTCATTTTAGAAAAATTTGGACATCACTGTAAGATAAATGATTAATTGAAACGGTTGAATTTAGAGCGCGTATTGATTGAAATGTAGAGTGCAGTAATGAATCGAATTTTAACTCAGTGCCAGTAATGAATGGAATGCATTGCGACAAAAAAATAAAATCTTTCACGATTAAAAGGTTACATTTATTGTGCATATTTTATTAAAATTATCCTGCTAAACACGTTGTCTCCGAAGTGGTTCATACGCGTACCACGAAATGTATTTCTCCAGGACATAGGGGTACATAATTCAAGGTTGCTAGATAGATGCCTAAAAAACGGCTGAGTCCGCGAACAAAAAAATCCAAAAAAGCCTCTAACTCAATAAATACTAGTATATTTGTTGGTTCCGGTGTAAAAATTCGATTTCTTTTTTATTTAAATTTAATTACGAAGTACCCCTATCATAAATTTCAGGCGGCCAACGTAATTGACATTAACTAATTCGCGAAATTTGTCCATAAAAATAAAGACAGCTAGGCAACCCTGTTTCGTAATAGTCCTATAAATGAAATGATAGTACAAGATGAAGCAATCGGAGACAACGTGTTAAATAATTATAATTAGCGAGTAATTACACACAGTGTAATTACTCACAGTGTAATTACTCACAATTAATTAATTAGAGTAATTAATTAGAGAGTAATTACACACAGTGTAATTACACAGTGTAATTACTCACAATTAAATAATTAGAGTAATTAATTAGAGAGTAATTACACACAGAGTAATTACACAGTGTAATTACTCACAATTAATTAATTAATTATTTTAAATTAGCGATTTAAATTAGCGAGTAATAACTGAACGACACTCACAGTTCTCGCGACACTCCGTGGGCGCCCCCGACCACGTGCCGTCTGCCTGACACACGCGCTCTGCGTGCCCGATCAGGTGGTATCCCTGGCATCACACACATATATATATATATAATATATGTATATAGTAACGGTTATGAAAGACTTGATTATTCAGGTGTATACACCATGAAACATACCAGATATTGTTTTGCCGGGCGTACAGGTCTACATTATTTAAACGAATTTAAAAATAAAGAAACAATTTTTGGTAAAATTCATTCCTCCCAGTTTTGTAATGCCTTAATCTTCTCCCACATAGTAATAAATTTTCTGGTGCATGCAGATAATATATCGATAAATATATTAATTGATTCACTTTAATATCTCGATGGCTGTGCAATAAAGCCACCCTAAGACAAAGGCTTGCACCTTTGAAAGCTTTCGTGAAGCGAGAATATTAGTTATAATTTCAAGGAAATTATGAACGAAGATGTTTCCTTACGAAGGGAAACAAAATGAAAATTAAATACTACCACTCTATTTTCCCACCCACAAACCTTAATGACAATTTTTCCTCCAGTTAGCGCGGCCATTACTCAAGTCCCAAGCAACAATGCCTCTGCTACAACAACCTACAATTATTTTAAAGGAACACAGCACGTCAGCGCGTCCCATTAGCGGGTGAAGCAAACGTCATCATTTGATCTTTTCAGGGTACAAATCCATTCTTAGTAATGCTAAAGTTTTGTAAAAGTGAATGTATAAGTTTTATTAGTTTTTATTTCGTTCCACACGGCTAGTTTGGGTGAAGCATACTTCATAATTTGATCTTTTCAGGGTACAAATCCATTCTTAAAAATGCTGAAGTTTTTATAAAAACGAATGTATAACTTCTACACTGTTAGAAAAATTACCGTTAACGGTATTACCGGCGTTTCAGTGGCCGGGCGGCACGTGAAAAGAAACACCGAGTCGCCGTTTTTATTCTAATTTAACACTAGAAATCCGTAGAAAATCTGATAAAAACGGCGAAACAGCTTATTATCACGGGGCGACCTGCCACTAGAACGCCAGTGGGACCGTTTTTTCGCCGTTTTTTTCTAACAGTGTATTAGTTTTTATTTCGTTCCACACGGCTTGGTGTGTCGCTAACTCACCTCTTGGCACTTGTAGGTCGCTCGACTGCCCACCACGCGCCCACCGATCTCCACGAAGCCGAAGAGAGGGTTCACCAGATCCCCACACTCCTTGTCTGCAGTGACATACATCACATATTGCATTAATACATACACATACATCCTTGCCACAAGCAGGGCTTGCAACACAGTCATAACTCGACAAACGACTAAGCCTATATGTACACGCCTAGGCTTAAGCCTATGTATACGCGTAGGCTTAGGCCTATGTATACGCGTAGGTTTAAGCCTATGTATACGGGTAGTGTAAAGATTATGGCTCTTTGTTCTGGGGATTTGTTCAGAATGAAAACGCGTTGTAGATTGTAACGGTTTCTGAAAACAAAGAATGAAAAATTTGAACACAAAGTTGAGGTTATTCGAAATTATAAACAATATAGAGAAAATAATCGAGGTTAACAAGCAATAAAATGATCATAACACAAGTATATGCTCACGTACCAAATTGCTGAACAATCTAGGTCAAGTGTTCTCGGGCAAAACTGAATTTTGCCCGAGCTCATCAACTCTGGTTCTACCTAAAAGGTCCCAACCTTATGTACACGGAAGAAGTATGTTCCGTAAAATTCTTACAGGTAGGCTTAAGCCTTTGTATACGCGTAGGATTAAGACTATGTATACGCGTAGGCTTAAGCCCATGTGCATGCGTAGGCTTAAGCCTATGTACATGTGTAGGCTTAGGGTTCACCTAAACCTGACTTCTGCAGCGTAGCGCTACCAGCCTCGAGGAGCGTAGCCAACGATTGACGCTAAGGTTTTTAACGTTAGTAAATATATGGGAATGTGTTTACGTGAAATTTCATCAATTCAGACTTTAAAGTTCTACTTATCCATTCTGCATTTAAAATTATTTGAGTTGCACTTGGTTCCGTCAGTAGAAACACGAATGAGCAACCAAAGCGCCGATAGTGCTTATAGTGCACTGTTATTCGCTGGCTACGGAAACTATGCGCGTCTATTACGCAATGAAATAATAGTACGTTACAAGACCCATAACTCGAAATGAATTGATAGGAATATTATTTAATTGTCTAAATTTCCCCACATTAGAGGGGAGGGAAGAAGTTCGCTAAATTCTTAAAATAGTGCAAAATTACGACTTAATTAAGAAAATATATGCGAACGTGTTTACGTGAAATTTAGGATATTCAAATATTAAATTTGTGAACTTCATTGCTATCAGAATTTGCGAGCGTCCGATCATTTCGACAGGGTTTAATTAGGTTTCATTTACACACGAAACTAGCAAGCCGGATTTTAGCGCCATCGTGATGGTCACAGTCCGAACTATAGTGCAAGTTACGACTTGAAATAAAGATTAACGGGTAACAGGAAAACATCCAACATCTAAGACTATACACTCAAAGAAATTGATGGAACCTTGTCCGAATAGTGAAGCACTTTTGTCAATACGTGGGTCATCTTGACCCAGTTTAGCCCTGAAAAATTAAGTATCAGTGATACAGGCAGGAAGTGTGTCACTATTTGCACAGTATTACCCACTTGTTTACCTGAGTGTACCACACGAACGAGAGGTAGTCATAGATTTTATTTAAAAACATCAGTAAGGAAAACTGCAAACGAGGGATACTTGATAAGGAGATATTCTAGAGATGTTGTACTGTATACTTCAACGGAGAAGCTGCCTTACTACGCCTGTATTTCAACCCTATATGGGGTACTCAGGCCTCCGACATGAGTGATTGCTGCAAAACTTCAGGATAAAACGCAAAATTGCCAGAAAATTCGGGAGGCGGTCTTCGGTCGCAGCGACCGACAGGCGCGTGCAGAACGAAAAAATGCAGTGCATTGGGAGAAGGAATTATTGCTGATTATTAAAAAAGCAGGGGATAAAATAATGTGCGCCTAAAAATTAATTTTTAAAAACAACATTTCTAAAGAATAAAGTGACTTTGATGTTACACATGTACAATGAATTTCTAATTTTACTTTCATATATAAAAAAATAAATTTTCAAAATCATTTATTCTGTCAACTGATTCATGCATTGTCTCAGGCTTTATGCAAGTGTGCAAAATTTCAGATCGATTGGACAGGTAGAAGTGTGTCAAATATCGATTATAGGATTTGTAGCAGACAAAATTATTCAATTTTTTTATATTGATTTTTTTATTTTTAAAATTATTTATTCTGTCAATTAATTCACGCATTGTCTCCAACTGTACGCAAGTGTGCAAAAGTTTAGATCGATTGGACAGGTAGAAGTGTGTCAAATATCGATTATAGGATTTGTAGCAGACAAAATTATTCAATTTTTTTATATTGATTTTTTTATTTTTAAAATTATTTATTCTGTCAATTAATTCACGCATTGTCTCCAACTGTACGCAAGTGTGCAAAAGTTTAGATCGATTGGACAGGTAGAAGTGTGTTAAATATCGATTATAAGATTTGTAGCTGACAGACAAACAAACAAGAAGTGAAGTTGAACAGAAGTGTTGTAAAAACAGAAGAAATTAGAGCAACGGACGAAATCTTTGTTTATGAGGAGAGGATGTAAAGCTCACTCGAATAACCTAAATTTTCCTTGATTCCGTAATCGTGAATTTTCAAATTTTCAAACTCATCAATTTTTAGCTTTCATGAATGCTCAAATTTCATTGCAAAAGAAGCCAAAACAGTCATAATTACATACGTTCGCTTTAGTAACAATCTAAAATAAGATTACTATCTGAAAATTCGTTACGCGCATCACGATAAGAACAATAAATTTACGTTCTACTCGTCGAACAAGGCCAAAGTGCAGCTCATGAAATACATTTATTCAATTCCACCACAAGATTGTGATTTACCCGATTTATTTGTAGCATTTCGAACTCTTTCAAAAATCTTCATGTATCTTGGGTCAGAACGCACTTTCTCGCATCCGGTGCAGGTCAAGTCATTTCAAAGAGAAGCTGTATCATTGGATGGCTTTTTTTGCTAAATCTATAGAATACAAATGTACAATAAAGCAAAATGTTTTATGAATTTAGAACACAGCAATGCAAGTGCGCTGTAAAGATACTCAACTGTAATAAATTGACATAGAATAGATAATAAATCGTCGTGTCGTCACAAATGACGTCCACGCGACAATTGTACCGCTGACCTCGAGCAGTTCAGTGAGGCAGCGAAGGCCGTCACGGCTCCCGAGGGTCGCGGTAATGGTGGGAGTTGAGACAAATGGACGGTACGTTGACAGCAGACGTGCCTACTGTTCGCGTGACCTTAACTCTTATTTCGACCTTTATTGTCCTGTTCACTCTCACGATCTTCACTCTTCCTTCGACATTCATTTTCCTATTCACTCTTCATTCGACATTTATTTTACTATTCACTCTCACGATCTTCACTCTTCATTCGACATTCATTTTCCTATTCACTCTTCATTCGACATTCATTTACCTATTCACTCTCACGACCTTCACTCTTCATTCGACATTCATTTTCCTATTCACTCTGACGGCCTTCACTCTTCATTCGACATTCGTTTTCCTATTCACTCTGACGACCTTCACTCTTCATTCGACATTCATCCTTCACTCTTCATTCGACATTCATTTTCCTATTCACTCTCACGACCTTCATTTTCCCATTCACTTTCCTATCAACCGCAAATTTCCTATCAACCTTCACTTTTTCATCTCCATTAGCTCTCCCGTTCACTTTCATGACCGTCACTTTCCTATCGACCTTCGCTCTCGAATGTTTCGTTAAAAATGTTCATAAAGTGAATAAATTTGTTCGAGATTGTATAAATTCAAAACTTTGTGTAATATTTAATTCTCAGTCGTAACGTTACGTAATGCGAACTGTAACGAAGGCCGAAATTCTGAAAAGGTTACGAAAGTCAATGACAACGTCGCTCGTCACAACGTAAGACAACGTCACCCATCACAACGTAAGACAACGTCACCCGTCACAACGAGTCACAACGTAAGACAACGTCACCCGTCACAACGTAAGACAACGTCACTTGTCACAACGTAAGACAATTTAAATCGTCACAGTGTAAGAAGATGTCAATGGAAATTGAATTATGGAGCAAAAAAATAAAATAAAAAATCTCATGAGTCTGAAAATAAGACAAAATAATAACATATATTACAGAGGCTCTATACGTTGCGCTTCCTCTACACAAAGCAAGCTCGTGCATGTTGGCATTACGGAAGATAGAATTTAATCATTTGAAAATTTGCGAATTATTTTTGAGCAAGTCTGTGTCTCAGATTTGTGCTGTCAACTTTTAGCGCCGCCCGTGTTTTAATTGCTATAAAAATTGTATAAATCGAATTATTCAGCCCAACTTGGAACTTGAATACTCGATTTTATGCTGATTTAATTTTCTGAACAAAATAAAATATATAAATAAATATCACCGATTTTCCGTTCCATCAATCCAGACTTTTAAGTTCTTCTTATCCATTCTGCATTCAAAATTATTTGAGTTGCACTTGGTTTCGTCAAGTGAAACACGAATGAACGACTTCTACGGTCTAGTAGAACAATTCGTTCATAATAAAAATATTTTATGATAGAGCGAACACTTGAACATGATCTTAATCACCTACGTCGTGCAAGAGGAAGTTCAATGCAACTGTGCATTAACAGCTATAGCCAGTCTTTCCTCAGCCAAGATTTATGACTCTTGTGATGGTTTTGAGCAGCTCGTTTAATCATCAGCTAGTGATAAATGACCTCTTCTGCAGCAATAGAACTCGAGCATGAAGCAGAAGTTGATCTATTTTGGTCAACTGCAATCCAAGAATGCGACAAGAAAATGAAATACTGGCTACCAAATCCAACATGTGGCAAGAAGAGGCCATATTTTCAAGTGGTTCAAATTGCAAGGCGCAGGTCTAAATTCTCGCGACAAGTTCAAGTCGTTCTCGACAAGTTAGAACCGCTTAAAAAGTTTGCCATTCCCTTGAGAATGTATTTTGAAACAAAACTGCGGTAAAAGATCCACGAAAAAGGCAGAGCTCGAGCTACGGAAACTGCCTCGGGAAAACGCGATAGCCGAAAGCGAACAAACCGTCCTGACCTAGAGATAATAAACTAATTTGGCACTTACTGTTAATTCATTACTAGCGAATAAATGGTAGATGTGAAAACACTTGCAACATTCACGAGTTGTACGATGTGAAAATTTACAGTTACTAATAATAGAAAAAAGCTTTGATCAAAAGTAGTTTTAACTTTCAATTGCGTTCAGAAAAATAATGTATCTTCGAGGGCCATCAGTTTTTGTTCAAATTTGTTTCTTCGGAAAGGACTTCAAAATTTAATTTCAACATCTAAGCTTCTGCTTCTTGAATCCAAAATTGTCAAAATATTTTGCAGTACTTGCAATGACGTGGTTATATTTTTAACCAACATCAAATAAATATTTCAATTTATCTTTTTGTAGGTTATTTAATTTAAAGTTAATTTTGACATAACCATTTTTTACTTGAATTTTTACTTTTTATTTCAAGCTGCCACTCAATTACAAATTTATTATTCTTGGGAGATTCAATTTCCAATCTTCAATGACGAAATTTGAGTTACAAAACGCATCTTGCAGTTTCTCCTTCGTCAGTTGGCAACGCGTCGTGCAACTGACGCGTCGAGAGAAGTCTTATCGGAAAGCCGTAGGCACCTGAGAGACTTTACACGCTCGGTGAGTGGTGTGTGGGGTGAGTGGTGTGTGGGGTGAGTGGTGTGTGGGGTGAGTGGTGTGTGGGGTGAGTGGTGTGTGTGGGGTGAGTGGTGTGTGGGGTGAGTGGCGTGTGGGGTGAGTGGTGTTTGGGGTGAGTGGTGTGTGTAGTGAGTGACGTGTGGGATGAGTTGTGTGTGGGAGTGAATGGTGAGTAAGGTGAGTGGGATAAATGTGGTTACGAGTGGAGGATAGTGTGAGTGGTCGGTCAAGTGGTTATTACAGTGATGCGCGAGTGAACACCATCGCACGCCACGGTAGATGGATGATGTTCCAGGATGATACGGACGACACATTCAATTATGTCACTAAGACCAAAAACGACTAGTTTCAAGCACGGGTAAGAAAAGTGCATTTCGTGCTTGTGAGTTATATGCTTGGTAAACCTTGTATAATATTGCAAGAGAGTGTTGCCAATATACCAAAACCTTGCTGCATTGCAAGAGAATGTTGTCAACATACCAAAACCTAGCAACATTGCGAGAGAATGTTGTCAACATACCAAAACCTTGCAACATTGCGAGAGAATGTTGCCAACATACCAAAACCTTGCAGCATTGCGAGAGAATGTTGCCAACATACCAAAACCTTGCAACATTGCGAGAGAATGTTGCCAACATACCAAAACCTTGCAACATTGCGAGAGAATGTTGCTTACAAACCATACCGTTTATATATATTTTTTTTTCTTTGAATAAGAACACGGAAAAAAGATTTCCCGACAAAATTAATCAGTTGGACAAACCATGATGTCTAGCTAAGACGCTATACGCTACTATATTGTTTTTCAGTGCACCTATTTGTAGATTATTCATTATTTATGTTATTAGATTGGTATGGATTGGTATGGTCAATAGCATATAGCAATATGCTATTGACGAATAAATTATAAGGCGCTTATTGATACTGAGTAATCGATAATATAGAAATCTCAAAGAATTAACATAATCAAATGAATATATATGAATAACACAGCTTATTTGTTAGATTTGCACAGAGATATTCGCAAAAAAAATCTCGAAATTTTTTTGAATAAGGCTTCTAATAACGAATCGTGCAAAATCCCGTGCGTTCAGAAGAATTAAAAAATACTGTAAAACTAATTTTTTATTCATTTGAATAGACTAGGAATTTTCGAAATATTCTAGACAGGTGCAATACCTTGCTAGTTTTGCTGTTTTTGTTTTCTGTTGAAATTCAAAACCACAGGATTGAATATCTCCATGACTTTTTTTATTGAACTTTGTTTATAACCCAGGCTGGAAGTCGTCAACCCGCACGCAACAACTGAACAACGTTGACTGCAACAAAAATCTTTGAACGTTGACTGGCGCAGGCAAAAAAAACAAGCTTTTGTTGGAGATCTTCTGAATTATTTGGCTATAGCCAAATAATTTATTTATAGCCAAAAGTTGGAAATCATTTATTTATAGTGTACATCGATTTGGTATTTTGAAAATAAATGTACAGCAACTCTGGAATTGGATTCTAGAGAACGTTTCCAGAAATTGGAAAAGTTACTAAAAAGGTCTAGGAAAAATTCCTACTTTTATCAAAAATATATTAATTCAATATACGATTTTTTTGTTCTCACGTTTAATGGCAATGTTTAGGTTCAGATTTTGTGCAGGACGAAATAATAACACCATTTAAAATCAATCAAAATCACTTACCCGGCTTGATGCACCTGCCACTAACCCGGCTTGATGCAGCCACTCACCCGGCTTGATGCAGCTCATGCAGCCACTCACCCGGCTTGATGCAGCTCATGCCGCAGATGCCGTCACACAAACATTTCTTGCGGCGGCTGAGGCAGCCGTCGCTGTCGCTGCTGCACTTGCGTAGACACGTGCGTCCCTGTGGTGAGAACAGGCGTATTTATTTAGAATATTTCATGGCGGTGGGTAATGTTACTTAAAGTCTCTTCTGATGTGAAGTAATGTTACTTAAAAGACGTAAAGTAATGTTACCTAAAAGACATAAAAAAATGTTACTTAAAATATTTTCAGATGGAATATGAAGTAATGTTACTTAAAAGACGTAAAGTAATGTTACCTAAAAGACATAAAGTAATGTTACTTAAAATATTTTCAGATGGAATATGAAGTAATGTTACTTAAAAGACGTAAAGTAATGTTACTTAAAATCTTTTCAGATGGAATCTGAAGTAATGTTACTTAAAAGACTTAAAGTAATGTTACTGAGTAATGTTACGTAAAGTCTCTTCAAATGGAACCTATTCATTACATTGTTTTTTTCCGAGCTCAAAAATTGTGTCATTCTTTTGCTCCAGTTTGAGAAGCCAAGAGTTGATCAAAGACAACTTTGGATGACATTATCAAGCGAGATCATAAATTAGTTTATCCCAATTTAGTGCAGATTCCAACAAATGCATTCTTCTTGTTAGTAAAGTAGTATGGGGCTTATTCAATCCAGGCACTTGAAATTTTATAAAATTTTATAGTACCTACGATACATCATTTATGACGGCAGGCATAGAATTTTCTGCTACGTTAGTGCGGATACACTGTGACAGCAATACATACTCGGAGCAAATTCAAGAAACGCAAAATTGGCATAAGTATTTTAAAAAGATGGAAATGCAAAGCCATTGCCTCTGCTCAAATTCACACACGAATTTACTTTCCATGCAGTTTAATTGTAAACCTTTGCACAGGAAATAATTCTCGCATCGCAGTATACCTCACTCAAGTGAGCAAACCTGCTAAAAGGGTAGCACGGCGCAGCATCTCAGCCGGCACGACAAGTTACCGCAAATTAGCGCCGTATTCTCGATGTGCGCGGCGCTGCGCTGCGGCTGCGGCGAGTTACCGCAAATTAGCGCCGTATTCTCGATGTGCGCGGCGCTGCGCTGCGGCTGCGGCGAGTTACCGCAAATTAGCGCCGTATTCTCGATGTGCGAGGCGCTAATTTGCGGCGAGTTACCGCAAATTAGCGCCGTATTCTCGACGTGCGCTGCGCTGCGCTGTGGCTGCGGCGAGCGAGCGCGGCAGCGGCGAGTTAAAAGCAGCGCTGCCGGCCGGTGGGGCCATACTTTCAAAACTCGCTAAGTGAACGTAAGTACTTACACTCTATTTTCGTGAATATCATTGGTGGATTTTGCTTGAAAGGCCGTCAGTGATTGGCTAATTAACTTACGATATCATGACTTTTTTTTAAGCATGGCCCCTGATCTACACAAGCGTTTAGTGGCCAGCGCTAGATGGCCGAGGCAGCGGCAAATATATCGAGCTGCTCGTTATTTGAGTGCTAAAGATCACAACCAACAAGCCAACGAATTTTTAAGTAAACATGCCTCCAGTTAAATTAAAACTAAGTTAAATAAATTAAATTAAACTCCAGTTAAATTAAAATTAAGTAGATTGCTTTCTTGAAGGTTATCAAGAAACCTTAATTGGTACTACATGTATAAGTATAATAATAATTCTTCAACTCCTTTATACTATATAACTGTATATTGTAGTTATACTATCAATTTACAACTCAAATGGACACTTTACCGCAACGCTGGAGTCTGGCAAGGGAGAAACCAAGTCCAGAATTCAATTTCAGAATCTGGAATTACATCGCAAGCTCAACAAAATAGGACAGAATATGCGAAGAAACTCCAGCCGGCTGCTGCAGAGCGACAAAAACACGGTCGCTTTCATGTCAAATATTCAGAAATAACAAGAAAAACAGTAAGAAATTCCTGCCGTATTTTTGCTTCTTTTGTATCCACGGAAATTTGAGACGAAAATATCTACATGAAACCGTTAGGAAAAATGTGGTTGTCGTTAGGCTGAAAAGAATTTTCAGAAATCCATTTTAACTAACGATACTTATTTCCAAGGAAGCAACGAACTGTATTTATTCGATTTGAGAATTCAAGGCCGACTTCATTTTAGTGATGAAATTGACAGAGGGCGACTAAACATCCCGATATAAAAATAAAGACAATATTGGTAAAATAAAGGCAATATTGACACACTGTTATAGAATCAAGATTTCTTCCTGATTATGCCAACGTTTTGATATTTTATAGACATATTTTATAACAAACTTCAAACTCCACAGCCCGAAACTTAACCGACCGTTTAGTGACATGACTTCCTTGAATAAAAAGCCTTTAAAAATGATAAACAGCGAATATAATAAATAAATTTTGAATAAAAAGCCTTTAAAAATTATAAACAGCGAAAATAATAAATAAATTTTGAATAAAAAGCCTTCAAAAATGATAAACAGCGAATAGTAATAGCGCATAAATGAAAGAAATCAATATCCAACACGAGTCAATAGGACCTTTGACTTGCATCCAGCTTGTGCCACTGACACATTGTGCCAGCCATTAGGCGATATCAGCAGCAGAGCTGATAGCCTGCATTCCAGCGCAACTTTCAGACGATAAAACCTCAAAAATATGTTACGGTGTCATTTCCATTATAATGTATATAAAATAAAACTATAATCGTGGACGCAGTAAAAATAATCGGGGACGCAATATGTACACAATGCGATTTATTTTTACAACGTCGAAACAAAAAAAAAACGGATGACACGATTTCAAAAATAATGTTTTCTCTCAAAAATATATAAAATCCTTTGTACAAAATTTAAGAATTGGCACGTCCGACCGTTCCGCTTCGCAGTGGCGAGGCAGTGAACGCCTCGGAATTTAGAAAAAACACATAAATTCTCTGTGAACGTGCAATGTCAGCAATTTTCTGGGGAACTTTGAAGCGCTCTTCTTATAAATTTAGCCAATTTATCGCAAGCGGCAGGATTTTGTCACCGAATCGAACAAATGACAATTTTTAGCTCAAGTCACGTCTCAGATAATCATTTATCTGATCTACTTGAGCATTAACGAAGTAAAAAGGTGCAAATGTTCTCAATTTTGCATCTAGTTGGAAAGCTTGCACTTATATTTTGAAAGTCCATTAAACTGAACACAAGTGGTATATAAATTTCACGATAATAGTTTTTTGCGATTTAAGTGACTTACAAGTTAGTATGAGAGGCGAGATTGCTTCTATATGCTCATGCCTAAGTTTTGCCGGTCACATTAAAACGTAAAATATGAATTTTTCTTCTTGTTTGGCGAAAAGTGAGCAAAATAATTTCAAATTCATATGAACAAGTCACGCACGAGTGGTCGACGCTCGAATTTGACTAGAACTAAAACTGCTATCAAGTTATCTGTGTACTTGAATTGCTTAGGCATAAAAAAAATCAAAACGAAGCATTTGGAATGATAGCAAAATATACATCGGCATATTTTCCTCAAGCGGTGAAGATAATTAAGAAATGGGATACAGTAAAATACGTACGATAAACTAACTCTTCATAGAAAACATGTCATAATTAACATGAGCTATACAACGTACAATTAGAATACCTCTTGAGGAAGCAATAGTTGGGCACTTTTTCGCAATATCAAGCGTCGGATATGAGCTCAGATATCAGATACGAGTTGTTCATTTTTCTAAAGTGTTTCTTGGAATCTTTTGGAAGACACAAGAAGCTAAAATTTACGCTTGCTCGGAATTAAAAATGGTCGCTGTTGGCTATAATTATACAGTACACCATAAAATAGCTAAGAAGTGCAAACGAGTAACATTGGAAATGTTTCGAAAAATGACTTGCCACGCATGCACGTGGATCTTTCAGATAGTGCATGTACCGTAGAACGTACTGTATGCATCTACGAGAGGGAGTCAGAAAGGTGATAGAGTATTAAATAAATCATGGTAAGGTCGCTCAAAGAACGGCAAACTGCAGGCATGGCATTTGTTCGGCAATCCAAGTTAATATAGCTTTAGTCGAGTAAATAGATAGCACGGAGAGGATTGATTTCGCATCCGCGAATCATAACAAATAACGTGATTGTGCCTTTGAAACGCTCAAATGTTAAAAAGCCAACACGAAAATAAGTTTTAAATGCACTAGTTGATATATCTTGCCAACTCAAAAATACATCACTTATAATCATAAATACAACTAGCCAACTCAATAATACATCACTTATAAGCATAAATACATCGTGCCTTCACATGATGGATCATTTACAGGCATCCAACACATTCATGTATAAAGATCCTGTAGGTACACGACAGCAAAGTTTTCCATAGATTTTCACGCCACTACGCAACAATCAACTCGCGATTGGCTCAACAAATGCAGCATTTTGGCTCACAGCACTTGGGGGAAGCCCGGGATTTTCTCACGGGTTTTATGAGGAGTGTGAGTGGCGGCGCCGGAGTGCCGAGTCGTGTCGCGGGCGTCGGCAAACACGCGAGACTTGCAGCGCGCGGAGTGCGGGTAAGAAGTGCCAGAAGAGAGGGTTATGAAAAACGGGGTGGAAGGGGACGTGGCTTATGAAAAACGGGGTGGAAGGGGACGTGGGTTATGAAAAACGGGGTGGAAGGGGACGTGGATTGTGAAAAAAGGGGTGGAAGGTGACAAATTCACTGGACTAAATATCCAAGGAGATTCAATGTGCAGAAGCGGCAGAAATTTTGAATGAGGATGCGGAGGTCGAGTGTCCCAGGAGAGGTATGCAAGAAGAATCGAGATGGATTGGAGTCTAGTTAAAGTGCAGTTGTAAATTTATTAAGAAAATAGTCAATGTGTAGCATAGAAGGAGGAAAGATGATTTGGGGTAGGGTGAGGTGAAATAAAGTGGTGAAACAAAGATAAATTACATAGAGTTCCTGCTTTCATCAGATAATAATTATAGAGCAGCGCTATAGCATTCACCTTCAGCATCCAGATCAGGGGCCATACTTTCAAAACTCGCTAAGTGAACGTAAGTACTTACGATATATTTTCTTGTCTATGATTGGTGGATTTTGCTTGAAAGGCCGTCAATGATTGGCTGATGAACTTACGATCTCTTAACTTTTTTTGAAAGTATAGTGAACGTAAGTACTTACGCTCTATTTTCTTGTCTATGATTGGTGGATTTTGCTTGAAAGGCCGTCAATGATTGGCTGATGAACTTACGATCTCTTAACTTTTTTTGAAAGAATGGGCCCAGTATTCCACTCAACACGTACGACCCTATAACCCTTTACTCAGCCCATTGCGGCATCACTCACCAAACGTCGCGCCTCCTCCTCGTCACCATCAGCAGTGTTCTACACTGCTACACTGCAACAGTGTTCTACTTAAAACACGTCCTTAATTAACCCTTTACTCAGCCCAAGGCGGCATCACTCACCAAACGTCGCGCCTCCTCCTCGTCCCGAGGGCAGTGCTCAGAGGGGACGTTCCTCGGGTTCTTGAAGATCTTCCTGCCTGCGATCGTTTCGTCATCGTGCTTGTAATGCTTAGAAATCTGCGAGTACGTGAGACGAGCGTTGGGGAAAATTTCAGACGAATGAAGCTGATTGGGGAATTGGTATCTCGGAGTTTCTCCATGGTCGTATCTTGAGGAGACTTCTCCTTGGTATCTAGGATTCTCCCCTCTTCGGTGGTTCGTACTTTCCACACTTGGATATCGAGAACGGGATTCGTTTTTGAGGAAATCGTCACTGGGATATCGGAAAAGAAATCGTTGATCTTTGTCGTCAGGATTCGGAGGAATAACTTGGACTAATGACGTGTGAGAAGGAGCAGAGTGGGAGTAGGAATATTGCGAAGGGTATTCAGGAGATTGCTTAATTGGTGTGATACTGAAGGACGAAGATGAAACCAAAGCCGAACTTGGCCAGGAGAGTCCATGTCGTGATGAGTGGTCTTCAGATTCAGGCGAATTATGAAGATCGGAAGAATAGTGAAATTTGCGGGAATGGTGGACGTCACGGGGACTCTGGTAATCTTGGGACTTGTCGGCATCTGAGTCCTTGCGCAGGCGTGACCAATAGTCTGAACTATTGACATCATCCGAGGCATAGGAATCATCGAAAGTTAAATGGTCTCGTGACTTGAGAGACCCGCACTCAGCGCCATCTGTGGAGTAGAAAACACAAATTATATTGGTGTTCTATTTATGTTAAAAATTCAGCAATAAAGAGTTTCATTCTAGTAAATCCATTTATTCGTATTTAGGTTAGTGTGAGACTTCTCGATACATTAGACTTCCAGCTTTAGTGGGAGGGAAATTACGAGTAGTATATACATATGTCATGTTAGCTCAGGCTTCACTGGAACGAAAAAATCTAAACGTAAAAGAGCGCAATTCCTAGAAAAGTATAACAATACATTAATCACGATGAAAAATTCTCAAGGCTAAACGGATATTAGGAAAATACAAATAATAAGTGAAGGGAAATTGCGCGGAAAATAGGCATGATAGCGACTCGATTCGACAACTGCAATTAAGGGGTAGCCAAAAAGTATAGTAAACAAGCGAGCGACTTGCGAAAAATCAACACATCGTTAAATTAGGTGAAATTCTCAACAAAAATCGCACGGTTAAATTTCACAGCATGTACTGCACATTATCCTATTTTGCATCCCAAACATCTCACATATCCAGTGAGTTATTTGCAAATAATGGCAAATAATGTGATTCTTGTATTTTTGAATTTCGACTCGGATTGCTGTTCATTACAGAACTTTCCTCTCCTCAACTGTTGGCTTTGAATTGGGAGATTCCTCGCTCTCTTGCTACGCCTGCAATTACCAATTGTCTTCTGATTATTTATTGGTAACGAATGATTGAAGTTGTGCCATATCTCCAAGCAATGCGATTTAAATGCGTTATTGCTACATTTATTTTTCCTTTTCAAAACGTTTGAGAAGCGATGGTGCTCCCAGATATTTGCATAACTGTTAATTTGGCCAAAAAATAACACATGTTGATTATGTTTCTATTTTGAAGTCAAAATTCGTCGAGATGAAAATGACGGAATTGATTCAAAGTGAGGATTGTAAAATGGTACGATTTAAAAAAAGTGAGTGAAATTACAGCAACAAAAATCGAATTACAAGCCACACGGAAATATTTATATCGCGACATCAGCTTCTAGGTTTCGACGACTGTAATTAGCCATAGTTGACCTCCAGGGCCATACTTTCAAAACTCGCTAAGTGAACTTAAGTACTTACGCTCTATTTTCTTGTCTATGATTAAGTGAACGTAAGTACTTACGCTCTATTTTCTTGTCTATGATTGGTGGATTTGGCTTGAAAGGCCGTCAATGATTGGCTGATGAACTTACGATCTCTTAACTTTTTTCGAAAGTATGGCCCAGGACATGAATGCCTGAACTGGGCTCACGAATTTCAAGAGCAAAATCTCAACGTGAAATAAATAATTCTCAATGGTATTCACATAGGTTATTAAATTTTAGAATAATTTGTTCAGGGACAAGAGGGGATGTAAGTCTCGTCAGAACAAAAACAAACAAAGGAGCAATCTTGCGTCGCGATTCGCTTATAGAGGTTTGCCCAGGCTTACCGTTCAGAAATACCACGGTTTCAAACATCGCTTATATTTTAATATGAGCAAAAAAAGTTTCAAAGGCATCTGAGATATGAGCCTGAAGTAGACGAGTATTGATACTATCCTTTTTAAAATACTTATATACGTTAGTAAATTAAGAAATTTACAGGATGAAGCCATTACGCATTACAGTAGGTTTAAAAATATAGTAGCAATTCATTGACTTATGAACAGACGACGCAATTATTTAATGAAGAAAGTTTGTTCAGAAAAAAAAAACCTAAAAATTCTATTGCTGATCAAGCCTTCGACGTGATTTGAGATTAAAGAGCGTTGAAACAGAAACATGTTAGTAGGAACGTAATTAATAAATCAAAACATAAAAAATTATCAGAATTATTTAAAGATTTTATGAAGCTCCGACGCGGCAGCCTTAAAGTTGGCAGCTGCGTTGTCTTTATAATATATATAAACCATAATACATACGTTTTATAAATATTTAATAGTCTTATTAAATTATAAATTCAAAATGTCTGAAGAAAGTAAGGGTAAAATAGCTGCTTGGTCTTGGAGTCATTAGTGCCTAAGGAATTTAACAGCGGGGATTTTTCCCTTCGACCAATTCACTTTCTCTACTGCAATACAAGCAGGCTACACGTACAGGCGTTATATTTTTTGTGCGATAAGGAGCAACTTTTCCGGCATGTTTACCAGACGTAGCAAGATTATAGAGCGTTCAAGTTAACAGGGCGCCAATAAGGTTAAATGGTATATATCGAGTAAACAACGCCATGGCAGGTTTAGGGGGAACATGTCGGTAAAAATAAAAAATTTTGGCTTTTCCGCTTTCTTGGCTTATTTTGTAGCTGCTGAAAAAGCGCGTCTAACGCAGCAAATCGCTTGTCAAGCGACGTTTTGAAGTAAATGCAGGATATCATGCATACCATCGTTTAATGCACGTAAAAGTAAGTAATTGTTGCTTATCAGAAGTCAGATAAAATGGTATCCCACAATACCAGTCTTCAAATATACAAAATATAAAACCACGTTTCCAAAATAATGTGACGTCAAAATTTCCTGAAGTCGTTCCAACAGAGCAAAATAATATGCGATATCCTATCTCCGAAGTTCGCTTCCAACCTACAAAGCCAAGACTTGCCTTGAAAATTTTTCCAATAGAACTCATTTCAATCTCCATCGAATTAATTCAAAATTTCTCTCCAGAATTTCGTTCAGTTTCCCCTGACAATTCAGGACGGAGACCCGCGCGCTCGTAAAAGTCGAGTCGTTTTCGATCGCATCAGGAGGCCACCCCGGAAGCGTCTATCGTGGCAACTCTGCACAATATATTCTAGGATCATCTGAAAATATAGCGTAAAATATCGTCTGATCCATCAAATTTTACACTGAATGAATTATAAGGCAAATTTAAAATGTTTCAGCATAATCAATTGCTGCGTTTGGAACATCAGAAATGGTCGCTACATAAAGTCTGATGCATGAGATGATATACTCGAGCGCTGAACTGATATGACTGCATTCCGAATAGTTAGAGGGGACTTTTATAACGCTTCGGTAACGGTACTCAATTGCTATCATTTATCTATGTTAACACCTCAGAGAATAACAGTAAGATTAATACGCATAACATATGCAGCCACACAGTGAAGTATCTAAGACAACAGCAGTAGAAACGTTGTCAACAAGGGCCCAACAGCAGCATTAACGCCATAATAAAAACGGCAGCATCAACAGCGCCACCAACAACAGCACCAACATCTCAACTATACAGCACCACCAACATCTCAACAACAGCACCATCAACAGCACCACCAACAGCTTCACAACAGCACCAACATCTCAACAACAGCACCACCAACAGCTTCACAACAGCACCAACATCTCAACAACAGCACCACCAACAGCAGCATCTATGAGCGCCTAAATGCAGCGGCGGCAGCCAAATTTCTGACGCCATTAATCAAGAGGCGAGAAAAATTCAAAGCTTCAGCCACACGAGAAAATAAAGCCGCAGCATCACGACTTGCGTGCGGTGGTAGCTACAAAAAAGTACTGGAAACCTGGACGCTGGTCCGACATGTTCATTAATATCAACATGGATTGATTAAAATGGACCAATTAGGACTCGTTCAGCAATAGACTCGTTCAGCAATAGACTCGTTCAGCAAAATATAACTCAGTACTCACTGCAGTGAGTGACAGAGAGCGCATTTTCTCGTCGACGAAAACTTGAGGTCACGGACAGACGGACAGACGGACGGACAGACGGACAGACGGACATGGCGAGCACAATAGTGCATTTTTTTCATAAATGAGAAAATGCACTAACAAGTAAGAAAACCGTCATCTATAGCGTCGTGTTTGTGGGGAGAGCGAAATGTAATAAATATTTTCATTGTGCAATACTCACGACATCAAATGATTGAAATAATATTCAATTATTTAAACATTCAAGAACGTCGCATGATAAAAGTAAACACAAATTTACCAATTACGTTCTCTTTCTAGTTATATTATTATTATTATTTTGTGTAATTTATATAATCACTGCTGAATATTACAGGATCAAATAGACGTCGTAAATAATAGGGTACATGAAAATCATGAGTCTGTGCCAATATTTTGAGGCTCATCACCCACTGGATAAATAACGTTGAGATAGCGTTCAATCAACGTAAATGCAACGTTTAAAGATTAATTAACGTAAATGCAACGTTTAAAGATTAAGCAACGTAAATGCAACGTTTAAAGATTAAGCAACGTAAATGCAACGTTTAAAGATTAATCAACGTAAATGCAACGTTTAAAGATTAAGCAACGTAAATGCAACGTTTAAAGATTAATAAACGCAAATACAACGTCTGAAGATTAATTAACGAAAATGCAACAATTAAAGATTAATCAACGTAAATGTTTAAAGATTAATAAGCGCAGATTTAACGTCAGATGCCCGGTATAGAAGCAGCATCTCCTGACCGAGAGGCTCTCAGCTGAGGTGCGGTGACAGAACGCGGCTGTTTAGCTATGTAAGAAAGTCGAACAATCCATGAAATTAAAAAAAATAAACTATTGCTTGATAGTGTATCTAATTTTTTCAAATTAAAACTCAACAAGTTAAATTAAAATTGACGATGGGGAAGATTTATTAATACCAACTAACATCACTTTAAAGTACATTTTTTACTAAATAAACTCGTTGCCAACGTGCAACATGATAAACTAAAACCTTTTCCAAAGTAAATTTTTTACAAACCAAAATCTTTACCCATCTACATCAATATCAATTAATATTTTTACCAATATATATTCATCTCAAGTTGAACAGTTAAAAAAACGTAAGGCAACACAAAAAGGGAACTAGAACACAACATTAACGATGATCGTCCCTGGTTTTCCAAGTAAATCGAAGCGGGCAAAGGAAAGAAATGATCGCTTTTTTTCCACCTCAGGCAGCCATCAATAAATTGTAAGGCGAGAACGAGAGCCTCCTTCAGCTAAGCGAAAACTGGAGCCCGTAAGCGAGGCGTTGAAGTGAGGGAAG